CCCCATTCAAGACTCGGAGGAAATTCAAACGGGAGAGCGTGTATGGAAAACATTGAGGGAAGTTCATTTGTCTCAAAAAGTGATGTACAGTTTACTGACGCAAAACTTATATATTGCTCATGTATTGCACCACGTATTTCATTGCTGCCTCTCCTTCTCCGAACAGTTCTTCTATAAGCAGCCAACGGAGATGGTTTCTTCGAAGTTGCCCAACCCGAAAGCCTATTTCCAGGATGATCACAGTACCAACTCACATTGAATTTCTCTGTGTTGCAACTTTGATGAGAATAAACAAAGGCGGCTGAATAACTCTTGAAAATTACACCATGATTCACTAGCTGAATATCTTAGCGACCACGTCGAATATTAGAAAAAAAAATCACAAAACCCAGAAGCCTGATATCTTGACTCACGGTTTCCAGCAGTATAGTTTTCATGCGGATAACACGTTGGCGAATGTGCCACATGTATGTTCGGTGGAACTCCATTACTGTGGAAAATGAAGGGAGGAGAATTTTACTACGGCATGTCCCCACACTGGAGGTCAAACAACCCAGATTCACTGCGTGATTTTGCACAGAAATTCCACGTGTCGAGAGCCTCTAATGCAGTTTGTAGCAAAGCGGAAACATTTAGCTAAGGAAACATTCATTGGAGCGTTGATCATCATTACAATTGCACATTGAGAACAACCTTCATTATATCATCATTTGCACACCGATCATGAAGACAGAAAAATTGGGTAACCAAACACCGAGTGCAGTGACTGGTGTAACTAAATCGGGAATTCATGAGTGACTGTGGACACTTCATCTGGGATTGATGGGCCACTGAGCGCGTGCCTTAGCGATATGTTGTCTTTCACCATGTCTTCATCCAAGTAGACAACACTGATCAGTGCTGCTCAGTCTGTTGCTAACGAATTTGCGTCCAAGTAATTGCTCAGATTTTGCTGTCTCGTTTCACCATCCATTTGGTCGTGCGAGTAAGGATCTCAGAGGCGGTTGGTCAACTGGCTCACAGATTACGCAATCAAGGCGTGTGTGGTCGGCTCATTTATTGCGGGTGAGTTATTTCCTCAAAAAATCATTCAACGTACATTAAAAGTACCGATTCTTTAATTGTGCCAGACTGTGGCCAACCTTTAGAATCACCTAAGCTTAAGATTTGAGATTCTAACTTCCTCAGCTCACGGTGGCGAGGCTTCTAACATATGTGGCAATACAATAGACATTTCAGCATTGCTATCTCTAGCCAGAACTGATACGGATACCGAAGTAGACCAATTTGTTCACATCCTGATCCGGCCCGTCCGCAAGAATGAGGTTCCGATTCAGTGTGATATCAGAACTCGGCTGTAAAATGCACACCGAGCACTGAGGTAGAATCATGCATATTATCTACTATGCTGGAATAGCAATGAACAACTTTGAGTTTTGCGTGCCTATCAACTGTGAGGACACTCCACGCGAGCATTTCGACCACATGGGCATCAGGAGCCTGGACTGGGACGTCCATGATCATATCAGCCACAAATTAGGAGAGGGCACTCTCACAGAACAACGTGTGATGAAGCGTACCAGTGGTTATTCATGGCGGTGAACTATATTGTCAAAGATACTCACAAGGTGCAATCAAAACTGCGGTTTACCGGTAGCACATACGAATAAGTACAAGGTAAACGTAGTTCTAAGCAGTGATAGCAATAACCTACAACGAAATGTTTTGATATAGAGACAATTCGCTTGGAATGGCACAACATGAACGAGATTCAATACACAAACAACCTACCGCAACATTAGGGTTTCCTGCTTCAACAACCGAACGAACAATTTGACGATTGAATTCAGTACAGCGGTGAGCAGCCGTTAATACCCATTTGCTTGATAAGGCACTACCGGAACAAATAGTGGTGGACTGTCACTCCCTAAATAAGTTAATTTTACTGCCCATGTGTAGGTGCCTTGGACTACGTTTGTGCCACCAATTATGCGTTTGTCGACGTGCGCAACATCAACACATGTCAGCCCTGAAGCGGTGCAAGCAAAGGACACGGCAAAACTGAGCTGCGCACACGTTGTGACCAATAAAGAGAACGATGAATGGGGATTTCCCAAAGAAAAGTAGTAACTAGCAGAGTGATCTTGGATCGTGAGCTTACCAGCTGTAAATATCAGGATCAGTACCTGAGGTCTGCACTCCTAGAATCTGAAATAGATGGAATCTGAAATAGATGAAATAAATGGATAACATCTACAAAAGATCTAGTGAATATACTCAACTTATAATAGACGGATGATTGTAGAAATAAAGATTTAAGTGTAGGGGTGAGAAGATGAAATATTTGACAGGATCTTCAAAGCTAGTTTAGGAGTTAGGAATTAAGAGTTAATTAAGAACTCTACACCATAATCACTAATGCGCGAACAAAGGCGTCCCATTCTTGTGATATGCTAGCACAAGGAGTGAACTCAAAGACACGTAGCTTACAGTGGATGATGCATCGCTTTTTCCTTCCTCCTTATATATCCTTCTGTCTCCGAGAGCAATCTTTCCATGGCTCGCTTTGATTACGTACAATAGGTCAACATGACCTACAAGATTGTTGGTTGTAAGAAATTCAACAATTCGTTGTTTCCCCTCCGCCGAGAACTGAGTAAACATCGTGCTGAAACAGTCAATTATCTGACAACATGTTCTTCAATTGTGTTTACTCTTGTTCGGGTCAACTTTTCATCTCTTATGGAGGAACATATCTGCCATAGTACTCTGTCTCTATTACTGGTGTGGTTGGTCTATTCCCTACTTCGTTCTACTTCAGTTATTGCACAAGGCTTTTGTTTGTAATGGGCGTTCAAAACACTGACAATTATGTGAAACCCAATTAATTATGGATACGTATGGATGATAAATTCACCCGGCGTTCCATTCAATTTCATTTAGTCTCCAGCTGTAAACAAACATGTCTGGACTGGAGGCACATCCAACGCCTACAACGCATGGAGCAGTGCTTCAGAACAATTTGGTCCAAATTGAACTACAGCGGTGAAAAAACCTATAAATCACTGAATTCATTAACATGCTTGCTTGACATGTCCGAGTTTACCAAGTGACTATTATGATCTTTAACTTTCAAATTTTGGGGTTTGAAAAATTTTAGTTTTAGAAAATTCCCGCGGATTGATTGAAGCGCTCATGTGCTATGTTATACGGAGATGCTGGTTGAAAGTGTCTGAATCACTGATCTTTACCAAACAGAAAGGTGCATGTTGGAGATTCACTCTCATAAGCCGCGTGATAAGATTTCTGAACCGTATCAAGAATATGACTTGCGATGTATGTGGGAAAATATCTGAATACTCTCGGGTTGGTTACTAGTGAAGCGAATGTTTACAATCAATTCCTTCGCTTACTTTGGACAAGTATCTGCCAGTAAATGTGAGTACGGCATATGTGAGTTAGAATTTCGGGGCCTATGTGTACGGCTCGTGATGTCTAACTAATGCCGTCTCCATCGGATGAGTGAACACA